CAGTAGGACCAGCTCCTGGCTTGTGCCGTGGGCTCACCAATGACTTCCCATGCAACTGTGTGGCATCGGCAGAGAGATGACAACCATCCGTAAGGGCTGAGTAGGCTGGCACTAATTATCATGCGGGAACAGGATGGCAATCATCACCCTGGCAGCACCCAGCATTTGCTTGCTCAAGACACAGGGCAGCACCCCCCTGCGCTGGTGGCTCCTCGGTGTCACGTTCAGTGGGAAGGGTTGTTAAAAGTTACTACGAAAGGGTAATCTATTACAAATTACTCATTAATGCAACTGAAAAACCAGTGACATATTACTGATTATTCCTGTGTCACGCTAGCTGGGTGGCAGGACTCAGTTCACACTGCCAGTTTGTGCTCAGTATAGCAACTTTCTCAACACCACTTACACACACACAGCGTCTTTTCTCCTCCTTGCCTGGATGAGTACATGGGCCTTGCCTTTGCTGTGCCTCAGAGGCATGTGTTGCCTCCCAAGTAGTCAAACTGCTCTAACACCTTGCAACGAAACACTCAGTTACAAATTTGAGACCCTTTTCATCCATTTCTGGCAGGCTCTGGGACATGCTAAGCCTCCAGGCTGTGCCCAGCAGCCATCTGTGCTGGGAACGCTTGGTGGTTTTTGGAAAGCAACCTTGGCAGCCAAGTCATTGGGCTTTCCCACCTCCGCCGGCAGCAGGCGGGGGCACAGGTAAGATCTGCTCTGTCCCGCACTCATCTGAGCCCACTTCCAAAATCTCCACCACCACAGCGTGAATCGCTGGAAGGCCTCTTTGCTGGCTACAGCCCCTTGGCTCTCCTCCAGAAACAGAAACAGCTCTAATCATCTCCTACTAGTTTGGCACCATCAGAGTGCTATTGCTGCTTCTGCATGAGGAGTTTTGCCCGTGGTGGATATTTAAGCACTCTCATTAAGGAGCCAGGACTTTGTGCAAGATCCTCACACGCAGCCCCAGAGCCCACGTCTAACACCAGTCTCGGGATGGACACGGCTGACCAGCAACAAGTCATGGGAACAGCTAGCGCTCGCTATATACTCTGGCCATGATTTATTCATCTCAGTCACATGCGGGTCTTGAATATAAAAGAATTATGAAAAATGAGGCAAGAACAGAGAGGTATTTAACTAATGAAGCTGGGAAGGAAATGGAAAGCACATTATCAGGAGAGCAGAAAAGCGAACGCGGTGGGAACGAAAGAAAGACCTGCCCAAAAGAGTTCATTCAGGAGTTCTGCAGCAGGGCCACAGCAAAAGCTGCAAGGAATTTGCAAAGTCTGGAGCAATTAAATAGCTGAGCATACAGCAAAAAAAGCGAGATGAGAAAGTTCAACTCTTGCACTTAGACTCATGGCCACAGGGCAATTGTGGCTCAGTGCCACCAGGGAGGTGGAGAACACAACTGTCTCGGAACAAGGGGTGGCCAACAGGCAGAACAATTGGGGAAAATTCAGTAAAAGCCTAAAGCTATCACAAAACCCAACGAAACTAGAAGAGAAGAGCTCCAGAGAAGCCAACAACCAAAATGTGTATAAACGTATCAATGACAAAAAACATGGGAAATGTGAGAAAAAGGAGAGTCAGCAGAAAGGGACACGATGCAGAGCAGGAGGTGACCTGAAGCGGTTTATTTAGGTGATGACCAGGGGCAGTGTCCTGTTAGCATCTGGAGCTGGACACCTCTCTGCAAGACCAAACCTTCAGGGTTTCACGTGGAAACCAGTGGGTAGGGCTTGATGGTCTGCTCCTGGCAGGAGGTCAGACTGGACAGGGGGTCAGAGAGCTGCTGCCGGCCCCCCAAAGCCAGCCGGCACGGCAGGCACCGCTCCCCGCAGCGCCGCAGGATGCAGCTCAGCGCCTTTTATCATCCGAGTCAGATTGTTCCTCCGCAGAGCGCAGGAAAGCTCCACTCTCCAGCTTCGCAATCAGCCACTTCCTTTTTTTTCTTTTTTTAGGATCAGAATTTCTTTTCTCTTCCTCCTCCACCTCAAAAAAGCGGATA